ACGGGTGGTTTATGGGTGGTGGGTTTAGGGGTGGTGGTTGGGAAGGGGGTTGGGGGGTGGGGGGTTTAGGGGCGGTGGTTGGGCAGGGGGCTTGGGGGGTGGGGGCTGTATTTTCCAGATGGCATTACCAAACTCAGTTGCTTGCACGTGTCAAGACTGCCGATTGGGTGTTCCCAAAAAAAACACAGGTGGCTGGTTCTCATTTTGACACACTCTCACACTCAGCTAGCCTTCTGCCAAAGGAGGCAGGTGCGGCATTCTTGTGCAGCCCAAGTCTGCATAGGAATGCTCTGCCGGGAAACAACCGCCGCTGGCGACCAGGGAAGCCATCAGGGCTGCAGTGAGATTTTGTTTTTTCTTTTTAAACAACAATGTTGGTTTTCTCTTGAAAACATCAAATCAGAAGAGGATCCTAGGCCACTTTCCCTCGCGAAAACCGTCATATGTCTTTTCCTTTTTCCTGGACACCCTATTAGAGACATTTGCGCAGATTGGATCGGAGTTTGTCCTTTGACAGGGAAATCAGCGGACCCGGAATGAGAACCCTCTTTAAGGAGTCCGAAATCGTGTGTTCCCTTGGTCAGAAGGTCGCCCAAAGTGGTGGGACAGAATTCGGGTTTTGGACTTCGGGTCCACCCACATGGCTGGGTCAAAACCCTACAAAATCTGGTGAACATCAAAACAGGTGGCAAATGGATGTTCGTCCACCCCAAAATGGGATCGCCATGACGCAAATCACCGGATTGGGCCACTAGGCCTTGGACGCGGCGATCCAGGCGCAGTGCATTTGGGCGCCAGGCCTCAGTCAGCGTCGGACCGTGCGCGAGGGAAGTAATTACCCAATTCTCCGAGTGATGTCTCTCGCAAATTGGGGGCGCGGGGGTAGAACGCTTTTGGTTTTGGTTGATTTGGAAAGGGATTTTTCTTTTTTGTGGAGAAGGGGCATCGTGCCAAGGTGCACATGAAGTACATGTTTCAAGCCCAATTCTTTGCCAGTTGTCCAGTGGCAGCTGCTTGCCATTTTTGGGTGGGGGCTAAGACCTCTGACCTCTGTGAAACGCGGGGCTCCCGGCTGCTGCAACCTGCAGGGTCTGGAGGGCTCCGTGTGGGCCATTTTGAGCGCTCGCCCGACCAGACTTGGGGAGTGGAGTGGCGATGGACTCGTTCTGCCCGGTTGAACCTGGCACATCTCGCCGAACGGGACCCAGTTTTGGGCCCTAGAGAGGTTTTTTTTGGGCGGAAGGCCACGGCGTGCGCAACGCGGATCTTTCCTGCATCTCCAAAAAACCTCAAGACAGAGCTTTTGTCTTCTCGGCAAGGGCAGCTTGCCAAGCCAAGCTCCGCTTTTTGCCTTCAACAAAAACATAGGGGCAACAAAGACTAAGGAGACTCCTTCGTTTTTGTTGCCCCTATGGCTTCTTTAAAGGCGAGAGCTGCGCTTGGCTGCTTGGCAAGCTGGCCTTGCGCCTCTGCCGCGCGTGCTGAGGCGGCCACCAAGCTGTACCTCGCTTCCCCGCACCACGCGCCGGCTGCGGCGTCTCGTTGAGAATTAACCTTGAGCCGAAGGGATGGGACCATGCAGACAAAACTAGGTTCCCCAGCTAGGTGCCCTTTCTCACCATGTTTTTTTGGGGTGAGGGTTTCCCAACCAAAATAGACCACCCGAAAACAGTCGGGTACCAACTTATTCTAGCCTCTCTACAGAAAAGGATTCTGAAACCCAAGGGAAACCAACCAGTGGGGGATACGAAAGCACCAAGACGAGGTTGTTCAAACAGCTCTTGTGTTAAAATGTTGGGTCAATTCTGCTGCGACGCGCCCCCCAAGAGTATGTTTGTCTTTTTCATTTTTTTCTCCGTCCATGGCAGGGAGACGATCGGCTTTTCTCGCTGACAGTTTTGTCATTGGACTGGCCTGAGCAATGAGCAAGCTGCTCTAGCCACGTTTGGACTCCCAGGCAAATAGGTGACATCCACCTTTGGTGCTTGTACAGGGAATCCAAAAAGAAAGTAATAAAATTTCAACTTGACTGTTGGACACCCCCGCCTTTGTTTGTGTTTTACCGATTTAATTTGGAGCCGCCACGTGGATCATGGGCGGTCATGTCCAGGATGATTTCTGTGAACTCATCCGCATGGACCGCGGTGATCCCAAGCTTCTCTCATAGGCTAGGTCCCCAGCTAGGTGCCCTGTCTCTCCCCTTTTTTGGTTGGGAGGGTTCCCCCTACAAAAGTAGACTGCAGAGAAAAGTTGGTACCCTTATTCTAACCTCTCTACTGGAGGACCTAGTAGGGATTCCTCGCACTCAAATTTTCCAGTGATACAAAGCTTGGAGCTTGGAGATGGAGATGAATTGAATTCGGCCTTGTTGGTTTCTTCCAGTCGCTGAAATGAAGTTTGTTTTCTTCTTCCCCCCGTTGGTGTTAAAGGGAATCTATCACTACTGGAAATATGTTTATTTTCACCCAGGAAGCTTAAGCAAATGGAAGGTTTTGAAAGATTGAGAGGATAAGATCGTACGTGTCATCATCTGGGTTGTTTGATCATCACATCTCAACATGTGGAATCTTTGCTACTGCCAAATCGCAGCTTTTGGGTTTGGCTGCATGTTTCCCATTTGCCAGAGGCAAACTCCAAGACTGTCCCACACATCTAAACCACGCACCTTGCCCACCAACGTTTCGACGAACATCTATCGCTGCTGGACCCATGTGTTCCTTTTTCCGGGCTCACAACAAAAGTCCGCCGGACGTCCGGACGCCGGACGTCTCCGAGCTTTCCGGAAAGCCGTGGGGGAACCGGAAACCGGAGATCCGTAGGTTTCCGAGCTCCACGAGCTGCTGAACTCCAGTCTGCCCGCCTTTGTGCGCTCCACGCACGTGGATGCCGGGGCCTTCGATGATGGCCTGACTCCGGGGGCTTGGGCCGAATGATTCTTGGGCGGCTTTTTTGAGACCGGGTGTTGGCGGGGATGTGATCTTAACACCAAAATGCTACAAAACACCGTGTTTTACGGTCCCTTCTGTTTTTTTTTGGGTGGGGTGTTGGGTGGGTTTATCGCCAGGGCGATGGCCGGACTTTTTTCTTCTTCTGGGAAATGACGAATAGGGGTGAAGCACTAGGCACAATGTATGTTGAAATGCGTCGGTAATGGCTTTTGTTACTCTTTGGTTTGACCTGATACTGCCTTTTACCTCCTTTTGTTGATTTGCATTCTTCAGCATGATGTGGTAGCTTCCCGTTTCAGGCAACTTGCGATCTTGACGCTTGACTTTGCTGATTTGACGGTGGCGATGGCCATAGTTGCTTCAAGTACACGTTCATACAACAATACTTCTAAGTGCTGACCCATCATATTGGGTAATGTTCTGGACGCTTCCTCCCAAACAGTGTTTATTCTTGAGACCGGCTTGAGGTCCTGTCGGGTTAGCAGTTAGCGCTGTCCTATCTAACATGGACACAGCTATTTTGGGTCAGATAATTGCAAGAACACTCTGGGTGTTTTGACAGACATAGGAGGCTGGGAAGCTAGCCACCAGGCGAGTCGATCCTCCCATTTGCCGTTTGTCAGGATTCATTGCCGCGTCTAAGTTGGTTGCGCGCTTTACACGCAAGATCAGGGGCCACTTAAAGAGGATATTGGCGGGTTTACATTGACCATTGTTTGGGGAATCAGTTTCAAGGAGAAAAACTGCAGCCAGGATCCCAAAAAGGACCTACCCCTGACACTTCCCGCATGTTGACGTGCACATCTACTCTGCAGTCACAATGGAGTTTTAGTGTTCATCCAGATGCCCTCCTTTTTTCCATGGGATTGTCCAGGAATTGACCCTCTCACAGACCTAAGGTTCATGATTTGTCAGGTTGCGCCACCTTTGACGCGGGACGTGCCAGAGCCAGAAATGGAAAGACAACTCTTCAAAAGCTTTGGGTTAGCACCATCTGGCTTCGTATTTTTGGTCGGGTTCCCTTTGCTCCCTTTGGTTGAAAGGGCCAACCAACAGGACACCAGAACTTTTCGGAGTCCTAATTCCTATTTCGATCCCATTTCGGGTAGGACAACCCATATATGTAAACGACTCATGTTTCCATGTTTCAGCGCACCTTTTCGGGTAGGAGAACACCCATACTTTGTTGCATTTTGCTTGGATGTTAGGACTTCAACTTTTTGCCAACTAGTGGGTTTTCTATCAAACCACTAGAAGTTAAAAACTCTTAGCAGGGGAGTAGAAAGCAACCGAGCATATAGAAACTCCAGCGAGCCAACAAAATCGAGGTCTCGGAGCGCGCCTCCATGGTACTGCACATGGCCAGCTTCTACAAGGCGCCTCCACTCGATTCGACTCGACTCGGATGCCCAAAAAAAAGGGGTGACGGTGTGGGTGTGTGTAGGTGTGTGTGTGTGTGTGGGTGTGTCGGTGGGTGTGATTGTGTTTGTGTGTGTGTGTGTTTGTGCGTGGGTGGGTGGGGGGCGCCTGGTAACAAGGCGATAAGATCTTCCTAGATACTTCCGCTGATGGTCCCACCTGCACGCGCCAAATGGAGCCAACGAAGTGTGAACCTGCTCATCCAAGGCTTAAATCCTGGGCAAGTGTTCCAAGAAGAAAGGCAAAAGCAGATTCACTGCTTTGTAGATTGCTGGAAACCCCCTAGGTTTTTTGAACCGTTCCCCAAAATGTTTATATGGGAGCGTGAGTTCGGGCAAAACACACAGTAACGTAACTGCAGGGCGAAAAGGCAAACCCACCCATTTTCAGCCTACCCATATGGGTATGGTTTTTCAAGAATACTTTTTTGGGAGCTGGTGTAAAGGCACGCCAACAGCAGATCAATAGTTTGGGGGCCCGAATCCCATGGTGACACATACCTGCATTGACGCGCTACCAACCATGGAATTTCATTTGAAGGATCGGGTTCATTCCCAACACCCCTGTTGATTCCCTCAGTACCAGCGTCCAAATCCATATTTTGGCACATGCCCAATTTTGGAGCTACCCATATTAAGGGCAAACCAGCGAATCCCGCTGCCCGCGCAGTTTCAGGGTTCCAACTTAGTTTCAACAGTCATATTTCAAGTGGTGTTAAATGAGCATATGTTTCGGGCACCCCCCTTTGTTGGGATACCCATCAAATTCCTCATGAAGTTCATCTGAAGGGACTGGGCCCCTGGCAGGTGCCACGGCAAGGTGGTAGGGAGGGTACTCAAAACAAAGCCAGCGGCAATCGTATGAAACGAATTTAATTTTGGCCCCCCCTCCCTGGGACACTCAAAACAAAGCCAAAGGTACTCTCCCACCAATCAACATGGAACCGTTCGACGTTCGGGACCCGGTCCCTTTTAAAGGAGAATGGTCCAAACCAGGACCGATTCCCCGAACGTCGAAGGGTTCCATGTGGCTGTGGGTTAAAGCCAATGATACCATTTTGGGGTAGGCGCACCACCCATTTGAGTCAATGTTAGCGGGGATTGGGATGTTCACGGGTACGATTTGGGTTTTGACCCATGGCCACATGGCAACACAGAAGCAAGTGAGGGGGAGGGTCAATCTGCGTGGGTCATGTCTGGTGGAAAGGGTGGGTCATGGTCTGCGCCAGGCAGAGGCGGAGCGCCTCAAAGACGCCGCGGCCTTGGTGGCTGAGCCCCTGCTGCCGGTGAAGCCTGAGGCGCAGGCCGGGCCAAGGCCAAGAACTGAATCTGGGGCAGACTTGGGATACACTTTCACCATTCTACCAGTGACTCTAAGTGAAGCAAGCAACAACATATACAGAATATAACGGGGCCCAACTCTAATCATGTGAAAATCCATTTTGCACCACTCTAGGGTTTGATTCCTTGTGCATTCTTTTCAAGAATCGTTCTTAAACCAAAAGCCGGATCCGTTTTCCCTGGGTTTCCGGAGGTTTTCTTGAAAGATCCGGATCCCTGGAAAGAACGGACATGGAAGGTACCCCTACCACCTAAGGCCAGTCGGCTGATGGTTCCCCTACCAACTGATGGTTTCAAAGGATTTCGCCATCCGCAGAGCATAGAACTTTTCCTACAAGCACACCACCCGTTTCAACCACACCTCCCAACATGGTCGATTTCAGTCTTTCCTAAGGGTTTGGGTGTGTTTGGGGCGTCCTCTAGGGGAGTGTGAGAACAGGCCCGGAACTGGTAATACTTTCAGACCATATGGGTGTGTGCTTTGTTTGGTGGTGCCCTGTTTGGTGGTTTTAAAGAGAAACCAAAGGGCAACCCAGCATTGCTTTCGCGACGTTTGTTTTCTTCTTCTTGTTTTCTCTAATTTATTTATTCCATTTTTTGTTTTATTCTCTTCTTCTTCTTTTTTTTTTTGGGGGGGGGGGGGGCGCCCCTAACAAAAGGTACAGCCATATCTTTGTATGAAGCGTCCATGGTGTTTTTCCACAGAATCAACTTTTGGTGGAGTTATGGGTCGACAGTTGGTTCATGACCTCCACTCCAGCTAAGTGCGGGGGAATCAACTGTGTGAAGACATCTTTTTACCGCTGCTCAAATGATGGTGATAGAACAGACTTAAAAGCCTTCTTTTGGGGGTTGACTAGTGAGTGACCCAAAAAATTAAAATCCTTCAATCATAGATGTGGGTTTGTCTCTTAAAATATCCCCAAACAGGTGGTTGCCGCAAAAAGGCCGACCCAACCAGGGCCAAAACCTACCCTCTCTCCAACTAACATGGAACCTCACAGAGGGTCCCTTCAAGATCAAATTGATCTTCCAGGTACCCTCCAAAGCATAGGTGTCCTTTTTGGTTGTTTAGGTCGAAAATACATGGCGATCCCTGGTTTACCTGTTTTTTTTTTCCTGTTTTTTTCGCCTTAAAAAAAAATAAAAAAAACATCTAGGGCCATGTATTTCCCCTAGGACACACCTATGGGCTATAGCGTATCCCCTTAGAAAGCCGGGGCCGCTTTTCCTGCAGGCCCAGGTGCCCCTGCCGGACCTGGACGAGCCCTTCTTCACCTTCGAGGACGGGAGGGATTCGAAGCGAAGCAGCGAAGGGCGCGGAGCGTCCGAAGAGCGTGTGGGTCTCCTGGTTGGTTGATCTGTAAAGTTTGGCAGCAAGGTCAGCCAGAAATTGGCTAAGCCATGCAGGCCAAGAAAGGTATAGAGGACTATGCCATGTCTTGTGTGTCAAAACAGTGCTTGCAGTAGGGAATGTCAGTGAGTGGGTTTAGTCGAAACATCGATGGCGATTCCCGGTTTACCTGGTGGTTTCATCATTTACCAGGGAAACCCATCTATTTCCCCGAAAAGGACGCCTATGCCAAAGAGACGCACGCGGGGAGATGCTGACCTCCCTACAAGCAGAGTAGAGTGGCAGAGTCGGTGGTGCAGTGTGCGAAGAGTGAAAGGTGAATGGTTGGTGAGAAGTGCCAGTTATCCAAAGGCCAACCCTCCGTTGTTGCATTTTGCTTTCCGGGGGGGGTGGTGGTGCCTCGAAATAAGGGACGGCTTTCCTCATGTTGGGGGGGCACCCATCAAAATTGAAGGTTCCCCTATTTTGGCACGACATGTCTATACATCGGCCCTTCTGGTTTTACGTTTCCCGCCCGGGAAAAGAAGCCCCCCCCCCCGTTCGAAAGAGGTTTGTCAACCTGATGGCTATTTGGTTTCATCTTTGGACACTTGGGGAGCCAGGTCGGATTTTCCATTGGACCCACAAAAACATATTCACTTTCGCAGAGGGGTCTCGCCAGCAACCAAGTCAGGGGAGCCGCCTTTCATCTTGCAGGCAGCACACCAACATGGAAGAGGGCGACCCACCATGGAAGAGGGATCCGTTGACGTTTTAGGGGATCCCCTTTTTTGAGACCTCGCCCATTCATGGTTGTTGTTGGGAAACATTCTACATGTTTGCTTCTTGTGGTTTAGTGGGAAATCCCCAGTTGACTGCTAAAATTTGATTTTTTGCTCCCCTTCCAACGTCAACCAAGCATTTGTCGGTAGCGGAATGTGCTCTTGGGAGTCGGCTTGAAGTTCCGCTTGCTTCAGTTTCAAGAGACTGCGCAGGAGGCGCAGCCGGCGTTCCTGCCCGTGCGTGGCCTGCTCAGACCAAATTTCCCAGGAGGGTTCCACTGAGCTCTTTAAGGGCAAAATGGGGCTCACCGAATTCACCCAGCTGAGCAAGCCGGCACCCGAATCTCAACTCGGGCCTGCGCACAGCAACATATTGCCCTTGAATCCGGGCAAGGAGTGTCCATTCCGAGTTCCCTGTAAACTGTTTGCTTGCGCTTCGGATTTCGGAGCTACATGGTTGGGAAGAGCTAAGTCGGGGGTGGCTCATTTTTTAGGCATGGGGCCCCCCAAACTGGCGCCATTTGGCTTTGCTTTTGGTTTCCCTTGTTTTTCTTTTTGTCAAGATCGCGCAACGGTTTTCCTTTTGGTTTCCCTTTCCCACCGAAGAGAAGCGGTAGAAAACCAAAAGACGAGCCGCCCACGTCGCTTCATGGCGCATTCCTTTCGAGGCGCCGATCCCAGCGACCCGTACGCCCTGGCATCCACCTACAAGGCGACGCGCAAAAGCGGCGGTTCTGCCCAGGGGCTGAGGTGGACTTCCGTTTGGAAGGCAAGCTATGTGTGTGCGGTGTGTGTGTGTGTGTGTGTGTGTGTGTGCGTTTTTTTTTTTTTCTCCCCTGTTTTTTTTTGTTGTTTCGGGGGGGGGGGGTGAGGTGCCTATGCTGAATGCGGCCAGTTTTTGGCCCGTTGGCGCTGTTGAAGTCTGGATCGATGATTGATGATTGTAGGCTTTTTTGAACCACTTCTTTCCGTGTAGGTCTTTATGGAGCGTTGTTTTCCCAGTTTGCACACGCGGCCGCTCTTTGGACAGCTTTGTATGACAGCCGCATCACTTACACCTTTGTTTTGCTGGTGCTCAGAGGGGAATGACCGAGTGACCGAGACCGGGTGTTGGGAAGGAACCTGGGGATTTCCTTTGCAGGAAGCCCTAGGGAGTGGTTTCTATGCGCTCGGAACCAGCAAGGTCTCAGCCATTCAGGAAGAACGGTGAAAAGCTGTGCCAGGGGCGCCTGAGGAGTTCTGTTTGATGGCCCCAAGCTTCTCATTAAAAACATGCGGACTGGGCGCCGCTGGCGAGGTTCTGAGGGTTGATCAATATTCCCAGAAGCCCCCAGTTTTGACAGGGCTCCTTAAAAGGTGCATTTTGCCCATGTGAAACATGTTGCTTTTTCCACCAAGTTTACAGGAACACCTCCATTTACAAGGCAATGTTCAGGAGAATCTAAGGATCCCTTGACCCTTTGGTATTCTTTGCCCACGAGGTTGAAGCATCGATTCTTTTTTGTGGATTTACGACTGGTCATCCCATGTATCACGGACCTTTTGATCAACATCCATGATAGCTCTACCATATGGCTGTGGCTCAAAATTAAACTGGAGGGGTTACGCGGGTTTTGGTCCATGTGTCCACTTACCAAGGTTCCATTTTGGTACCGGTTTTTTGAGCCACAGCCACATGATTGAGTCATCCCCTGAAGGTGCAGCATTCCTCAGAAGGAGAGCTGCCGATCTTTTTAAGAAAGAGGCTGCCTGGAAGCATCTGCTTGACATGCAAGCGCCCACCCAAAGGTCTTAGATCATGAGGGAAACCAATTCAGGGCGCAGCCTCGCGACTTCACTCGTCCCGGAGAGTGTCAAAAGTTGCTTGAAAGAATCAGACGGCCGCCAACTCTTCCAAAGGGATAGCTTGAGGAGGCAAGCGCTTCACACCTCTGTTTTGTTTGGCAAAAGTTGGCGTGGCGATACTGTTTTTGGGGGGAGGGCTGTTTGCCCCCTCCTGTTGATGAATCGCAAAAAGCAAAGACACGCCTAGAGTTGTATTCTCCCTACCTTCAATTCACAAAAGCAGGTGGGAATTTCTTGCCCTGGACCATTTGTCCTTCCTGGGTTCCTCGTGTTTCTTCGGGGGAAAAACACGCGTAGAGAGCGCCGCTGGACAGGACGACCTGGGGATCATGGCCTCGACCCAGGAGCCCAAGACCTCGCCGCGGCCTCGGCGCGCGAGGGTGGGACGTGGGACGCCTGGGTGGCCCCGGGGATTTCTTTTTTCCAAGTTGGGAAGCTCGGGTGGGCTGGCCAGAAATGGAAGCCAAAAGGAAATCAAGCATTTTGGAGGTCTGATTTTGAGACAAAGCCGTGTTTGGCAGTTGAAGTCCGGGTGGGCCGGTTTTGAATGAAGGCCAAAAGAGGGAATTGACCGCGAAACCAAACCGGTTAAGAGTAGATTCAATCATTGTAGCCCTGAAGTTGAATCTCGATGCCTCCAGAGCTACGGCCGATTTGCCGAGATATGGGTTATGTTATGGGTGTGTTTCGTGAAATGGCCGGACCCCACAAATGGTGGGTGGTTTCCAAAAAGGGTACCCACAAAAGAAGACGAGCCTGAAGGGTTGCTGCCTATATTCTGAAGAGCTTACCGATCGGGGGTATAGTGAGCTCACCAGGTTAAAGATCCTTTACTTGGGGATCCAACTCTGAATTCAGAGTCGCAAAAGTCCACTTATAAACATTATTGTAGTTGTTTGTCTTAACTACATTCAACAATGTAACAAGCAAAACACAGAACAAGCAAACAACAACACACCGATACATCTTTGGCATTCGGCCCACTTTCTTTGGAGCCATGGGTTTCCTACTAGAAAATTGGAACCACTTCGCCTCGGGTTTCGGGTTTCGGGTTTCGGGTTTCGGGTTTCGGGTTTGTGTTTCATTCCTTACATTTTTGAAAAAAATACTTAACACACAAATACATCTTTGGCCTATGCTTGTTTTTGGAGACATGGCTTTTGGAACCACTTCACACAGAAATACGTCTTTGGCCTATGCTTTTTGTTTGGGGCCATGGCTTGCGGAACTTTCTCGCCTCGGGTCTCGTTGGTCTCGTGGGTTTCGTTGGTTTCGTTTGGCGTGTCTCAGTACTCCGGCGCCCTCCATGTTCTACCTGGGCCAAGCGAAGGCCGAAGGGCCGAAGTGGGCTGAAGTCGAGTCGTCTCTTTGACGCAGCCCGCCACTCTCGCGCTCCGGGCTTTGGGACGCAACCGAAAGGGGCTGCCAACCCCGTTTTTATTCATGGCGCGTTTTGTTTTATTCTTTTGTTTTCCTACTTGTTTTTTTAACAACAAACCTTGGGTATCGGGTTGTGTTTTGTTTTTTCGAGATTAGAAAGAAAGATTTGGAAGTGGGTTGCATCGGATTTTTGCCCTGAAAGCTATGGATTTGGCCGATAGGACCAGATAGGCGAGAAGGGTGGGGAAGCTTTCCGGGTTCACGAAAGGTTCCAGAAGGAACCGGGGGCTGTTGGGATACCACTAACCACTTGGGCTTATTTTTTTGGAGGAGCCCTATGAGAGACCCGGTTGGTGGTTGGTTTTGGGAGAAGGGAGATGCACGCCATTGGGCAACACTTTGAACATCCGCGAAGTGGCTCAGCTTTGGATCTGGAAGATTCTTCCATTTGCTTAAGAGTATTTTATATTTTCCCTTGTTGGTTTTAAAGGGAATCCATCACTACTGGACATATTTTCATTTTTCCAGGGCGGGCTTAAGCAAATGGAAGAATTTAGTTTCCATGCTGTGCCTCCAAGCACAAGGGGTTCCAGCATTTGGCTTTTTGGGAATCTCCGGTGGAAATTGGAAAAACGGTGACTTCATTTTGGGCGGGTGCTTGGGTGGGCCAGTCACACTGCTGTCCAGGAGCAGGCAACGGAGACCAAAGCAGAGCCGGCAGCGCCAGAGGCAAGCGGCAAGCGGCAGTCACCGAGGATGTTCTTTGTGTGTGTGTGTGTGTGCACAAGAGTTCATAGCAGTGGTTACTGCTGCAAGGGTCAACATCACTCAATCCTTCTGGCAGAAGGTCGCGTGTTTTTCCCTTGTTTTTCCCCTTCTCCATCCCAAGCCTTCGTCCATCCTCCTTCTTGCCATGTGCTGCTTGAGCACTTTGTTCCCACCCCCCGTCCACGAGCATTATTTGAATCCACCGGCTGGGTCGACGGGGCAGCTCGGATCCACGCCGTGCGAGGTGAAAGATCCCCTGGCGCTGATGCGGGAGCGACTGGAAGCGCAGCAGAAGGCCTCTGTGAAGTACCAGGTGGGAGCCTTGAGTCAGTCATGAAAAAGCGGCGAAACCAAGGGGCTGGTCTCAAAATAGGAATTGGCTTGCCTTTTGTTTCCAAGAAACCATTGGCGCTTTCCGCTTGTTTCCCTTTCCTTTTGTTTCCAACAAGACACCATGGGTTTACTTCCAGTCTTGTGGGAACGGGCTGGTCGTGTTTGACTAAGCTGCGCTTCTTGGTGCCTGGACCGTCACTTGGTTTGTCAGTGAGGCCCATTGCTTCCAGCAACTACTGCAGGTGTTTGAGGAGAAACCATTAGACTCGTGACAAAGGCCCATGTGGGTGGTTTCCGTTGCCGCAAGCGAGGGCTTTTCGGAGTTGTTCTTGCAATTTGAATGTCGAAATGGCACGGGCAATGAATGTTGCATGGCGACTCAAATTTAAATGGACCCATGTCAATTACTTTTGACTCGGATGCGGCCTGTACCGGCACTTTGGAAGGGTCAGTGGACAGCGCCAGGTGATGCGTGATGACTCAGGAGGCCTTGGGGGGCTAAAGCAGGGAGCACCTGCTCCGCTCTCATGGGGGCTGGGGGGGAGGGAGGGGGAGGGAGAGGGAGCCCTTATTAAGCCCCTAACAAGGCCTTATTTAGGGCTCCCCTCCCCTCCCTCCTCCCTGCCCATAGTGCTCAGGTGTTCCCTCAGAGACAGGGTCTGAGAGTCTTTGCCGATCGCCGGTCTGTCTCGCTGCTTATCCAACGGTTTGGTGGTGGTTTCGCGATTGAGGGCCAGGCCGGAGCTGCTCTTCTCTCAGAAAAAGACACAGAAGGCAAGTCCAAGGGGGACGAAACCCTCAAGACTCGAAAAGCGAGAAAAGCGAGACTCTCTGAGTGAAAGGTAGCTGGACACCTTTTTGTCTTCCTTTTCCGAACGAAAGCCGACAACACCGAAACAGTCAGCCGACAAAAAGAAAAAAAAGTGAACAAAACGAAAAAACCAAACTGGTCCTTTCTTTATTCTCAGAATCTGAAGGTGTACCCAAGTTCTAAATCTGATACTTCATGATCTTATATCAGAGACGATCCCATGATTTACTTTATCTTTCTTGACTACAACTTTCATGCTTTTACTAACGTTACCTAACTTATCCTAGGTCCCCCAGTAGTGCCCTTTTACCAACTTTTTTGGTTGGGAGGGTTCCCCTACTAAAATAAACAAACAATAAAAACCATAGGTACCCTTTTTCCATCCTCGGCTAACTGGAGGACCTAGTATCTGATGCACCTCATTTACTGCAGATCCTATATTCTATCCACAGATTGAGCTTGAGACTTGAATAAGGCCACTTGGCCGATGCGGCTTGCTAGACCAAACAAGCAGGAGAACCGGGGGAAAAAGGAAGGAGTGAAAGCACGGCTTCCTGTGGGAGAATGTCTGCCAGCCACCTTTCCCTCGAGGAGTCTTGCTTTTCGTTTTTGCCCCTCAGAGAGAATCCCATCCTTTCCAGATTATTTTCATTCCCCCACAGATCAACAAGTTTCTTTTTTTTTGTGGGGGGCGGGGTAGCATATGTATATATATATATACATATATACACATATGTATATATATACATACATTTGGAAGGTGGCATGCTGGATCCAAGGTGCATGGCCCCCCCCCTTAGCCAGTTTCGGAGATCTTTCCGCGGGCAAAACGCAAGGCAGCGCCAGGCTTCATGTGATCGCCTGGGGTTTCATTTCTCTACCGCTATTGGGTTGGATCTTTAGACTTTCACTTTTTGGATTCCCTCCATACTTCCTTTTAACCAGCCAAAAGTGAACTGGGCTGCTTCCCCTTTCTTGTGCTGGCGCCAAAGTAGGCGGATGTTGACCGAGATAGGATCTCCATGTTTCCTCCCGTTGGGACCGCTCACTGCATGTTTGCGGTGAGCCGAAATATGTTATTGCTGTAAAGGGCATAGAACCGATCTTCAAGCAAGATGGTGTCTACTCCATTCGTCTGGTTACCATTGTTTATGAGGGAGTCTGGCACAAGTTGAGCGCGAGGGTGCTGTGGATACATGTATTAGGGCTTATTTTTCTGGGTGGTTTAGCCAGGTCGTCATTGCCTCTCAGTGGTTTAGTCTTGGGAGGCACCTCAAGCAAATGTTCTAGGTCTCTCACGCACATAGCTGCCGGCGACTTGAAACAAAGAGATATATGCAACAGTTGGCAAATTGTCTGCGGGGTTGGCATTCTTTCGGAGGGGGGAGGGGGGTAATGTATTGGCAAGACCGGACTTTCGTGAAACAAAGGATGCTCGTTTTGGGACGGTTTCAAAGAACCAAAGGGCTTTGGAAGCAGTTTGGAGCTGGGTAAAAAAAGCGCAGGCGCTAGTCAGCTGACCGGCAGTGTGGGCCAGGCGGGGGGCTTCTATGTCCGGAAGCAGTCCAAAGGGTAAGCTCCGCCAGCCAGATGTGCGCATGCGTATGGATGAGTACATCATTGCTTTATATGCAGCCATGTGTACAAGTATGGATGCGCCTGTGACGCAATACGTCACTCTCAAATTTCAATGACCCGTATCCCCAAAAGATGGTATTTAGAATGATTGTACAGTGTTACAATATCTAGGTCCCCCAGTAGTGCGCTTTTACCCTTTTTGGGGAGAGGGTTCCCCTACTAAAATTACACCAGCCTCGACCCCAAACAGCAAAAAGGCATGACAAGTCTGTATAGCCCAAAAAAGGCTTGTCTCCTTCATGTAAGGTGCGAACTTGAGTAGCTTATGTGAGCAACACATAGTTACAATCAGTCCATGTATGTCCCTGCAGGAAGTCCCCTTTTTTGGGAAGAGGACACATCGGGTCCATCCATCTCCTCGACGCCGGGTAAAAGCATCGATGTTGTTGGGATTCGGGGTGAATCAACCTAACACCTGGCATTAATCAAAGGAAGTTTCGACGGAACTTTCGTAGTACGGACACTCAATGCACTTTTCCATGACCGCAGCATTTGGCGGCCGTCTCGCTACTCTGCTGAAACTTGCGCATCAGTCTCAGCATCTTGCGGCCGAGACTGGACACACGCCACTTCTGGCTCAAGGTCTTGCCACAAGCAGAGCAAGAGAGCACTTGCATAAACTTGCAGACTGCGCCTTGTAGCGTTACGGCCGGGACATCCTCGCCTAGCAGCGCAGACACACGCCACGCCAAATTGGCAAGCGTCAGCAAAGGTGCCCGTTTGGCGCGCGCCTCTGTCACCCGGCACAGCTCCAGAAAATCCTCAGTGTTTGAGCCGGCAGTAGCTTGGTCATCCAGGGCCTTCATCTCTGTCGTGTCCAGCGCGCCGCATGCTCCCAAGATGGCCAACGCATGGCTTTGCTCCATGCGCCCAACGCCGCTCCATTCTGGAACAAGCTTGGCTTTGAATGTCAGCTCCAGCCCTGCTCCATCTCGGAAACGTGTGAGAACTTTGCCCCAACTTACCAATGCTGGGTGCACAGTGGACACCGTTCATCTTGGAGTTGGCGCTTGTGGTTCGCAGATTGGTGTTCACATGTGTGGTGAACGACCGGCGGCCGTCATTCCAACGCACGCCGCTGGCAACAACTTCTGGGCCTTGCGTTCACTCAGCTCCAGCAGCACTGTAATCAACTGGCCGGGTTCGTGAACTCTTTCCAAGTTGTCAAGGTCAGCAAAGTAGGTTGCCAGGAGCTCCTACGCATCAACGAAGTTTTTCGAGGAGAGCTCGGCATGCGAACAACTCTTACGAGCTAGTGGTTTGGTTGGGGGCCCGACTCACCCAGGCTATACTTCCAGGACAGTTCTTTCTGGAAACCGGTCAGAAAAAAACCTTGGAGCTTGGACCCTCCCTTACGATTCTACGATGCAACAAGATGATAAGCACGCCTGCTTGACTGTGTTTTCGCTCGTCGTTCTCTGCGAAGCAGCAGATCTCCAAGAGCAAGTATCCAGGAAACCACCAAGCCACTCTGCGATTGGGCGCCACAAGAATGCAAACCAGTCAGATACGGCTTGGCTGGGCTCCGCTGATGCGCCACAAGGATGCAAACCAGTCACGGCCACTCTGATGCGCCACAACGACACAAACCTGGCTCTGCGCCACAAGGATGCAAACCAGTCAGTTAAGGCCACTTGGCTGGGCTCTGCTGGTGCGCCACAAGGAGGCAAACAGGCAAACCAGTCAGTTACGGCAACTTGGCTGGGCTCTGCTGATGCGGCCACACTGACCAAGAAGTGCGGCACTGGCTTCCAAAGAGCAGCTCAGAATCCTGAGCAAAGCAATCAGGCGGATGTCACGGCATATTTGTTTATCGAGAACAATATACAGATTTCAGGCCCGACAGCTCTGCTAATGCGCCACACAAGGATGCAAACCTGCACTTGATTAAGAAGTGCCTCCAAAAAGCAGCTCAGAATCCTGGGCAAAGCAATCAGGCGGATGTCACGGCATTATCGAGAACAAAAGTACATATTTTAAGGCTTGACAGGGCGCTGCTGATGCGCCACACAAGGATGCAAACTTGCACTTGGCCAAGAAGTGCGGCACTGGCTTCCAAAAAGCAGCTCTGCGCCACAAGGATGCAAACCTGCGCTTGACCAAGAAGTGCGGCGCTGGCTTCCACGAAGCAGCGCAGTATCAGCCGGACGTCACGGTATTTGTTCAGCTGATGCGTCACAAGGATGCAAACCTGCACTTGGCCAAGCATTTAAGGCTGGACAGAGCTCAGCTGGCGCGCCACAAGGATGCAAACTTGCACTTGACCAAGAAGTGCGGCATTGGCTTCCAAAAAGCAGCTCAGTATCAACCGTATTGTCTATCGAATCCAGTCTACATATTTAAGGCTCGACAGGGCTCTGCTGATGCGCCACAAGGATGCAAACCTGCACTTGTCCAAGAAGTGCGGCACTGGCTTCCAAAAAGCAATCAGCCGATGCCACTATATATATATATACTTATATTTGTTTTTTATCGAGAAACATAGACATATTAAAGGCTCGACAGGGCCCTGCTGGTGCGCCACAAGGATGCAAACCTGCACTTGACCAAGAAGTGCGGCACTGGCTTCTAAAAAGCAGCTCAGTTTCCTGAGCAAAGCAATCAGCCGGATGTCACGATTTGTTTGTTTATCAAGAAAATAAGGCTCGACATTGCTTGCTTCACAAGGATGCAAACCTGCGCGTAACCAAGAGAGAGGCACATCCCTTGCCCTTTCCCCGTTGCGAAGCATTGTTGCAAGTGGTTCCTGCTGACTTGTCGAATCTATGTTTCTAGCTTGATGCTTCTCAATTGCGCTTGCGAGCTGCTGCACATGAGCCGAAGGGAGCCGAAGGGAGCCGAACGCCGGTTACTGGATGCCAAGCAAGCCAGGTCAGCCTCAAATCTGTTTTGCCCGGGACCTTCTTTTTTCCTGTTGAGGGCTGTAAGCAGGAAAACAGCCAGCTGGCAGCAAGGCCAGCCCCAAAACTCGCAAAGAAGACTTCAGTTGGTTTTGCCCGGGACCCTGTTGAGGGCTGTAAGCACTAAACAAACAGCCAACCACAGAGACTGGGAGACACAGGGAGACAAGCGGGAGACACGACCCCGGAGCCGGCGTCACAGCATCTGGCATCTGACCGCAGAGACTGGGAGACACAGGGAGACAAGTGGGAGACACCACCCCGGAGTGTCTGGTATCTGACCGCAGAGACTGGGAGACACAGGGAGACAAGCGGGAGACACGAACCCGGAGCCGGCGTCACGACTGGGACACAGACACAACCCCGGAGCCGGCGTCACAGCATCTGGCATCTGACCGCGGAGACTGGGAGACACAGGGAGACAAGCGGGAGACACGACCCCGCAGCCAGCGTCACAGACACAGGGAGCCAGCGTCACAGCATCTGGTATCTGACCGCAGAGACTGGGGGACACAGGGAGACAAGCGGGAGACACGACCCCGGAACCGGCGTCACAGCATCTGGCATCTGACCGCAGAGACCTTGGCCCGCAGCCAGCGTCACAGCATCTGGCATCTGAACAGGGAGACAAGCGGGAGACTGACCCCGCAGCATCTGGCATCTGACCGCACGAGACTGGGAGACACAGGGAGACAAGCGGGAGACACGACCCCGCAGCCAGCGTCACAGCATCTGGCATCTGACCGCAGAGACTTTGGGAGACACAGGGAGACAAGCGGAAGACACGACCCCACAGCCAGCGTCACAGCATCTGGTATCTGACCGCAGAGACTGGGAGACAGGGAGACATAGGGAGACACGACCCCGGAGCCGGCGTCACAGCATCTGGCATCTGAGACTGGGAGACACGGGGAAACAAGCGGGAGACACGACCCCGGTGCCGGCGTCACAGCATCTGGCATCTGACCGCAGAGACTGGGAGACACAGGGAGACAAGCGGGAGACACGACCCCGGAGCCGGCGTCGCAGCATCTGGCATCTGACCGGAGAGACTGGGAGACAGGAAGACAAGCGGAAAACAGGACCCCGGAATCTAGATCGAGATTTATAACTGGTCTTTTTCTTTTTCGGTTTCATGACGGATGTGCGCAGGTGCCCTCATCTTCCAGCACCTGCGCTCTCCCGATCCCGCCGGAGAAGGCCGATGCAGCTCATGTGACTCAAAATTGAAGAGCGAGGGCGCAGGTTTTGGCATTGGCTTTCTTTTGCCAGCATGCCATTTTGGCGACCATCTTTTGAGCAGACACATTTCAATGCGCGCTTCTTGATGTTCGACGCACAAATACGAACCACACGTTTCGGCGCTCGAAGCGATCGTTGCCAGGAGTTGACGGAGCTACAGGGCCGCCTGTGGACGGTGGCCCATCGTGGCCAGCATGTGGCGGTCTACGTCTGTATCAGATCGCCCAATCTCAGGCAGGCAGTTCGCTTTTTCGTCGAAGGAGCCGAGGAGTTGTCGGTCCAAGCCCCCACCAAAAGCTTTGAAGCCGTGCATGGTCTTTTACGGTGTGAATCTTAATACCCTCCCACCAATTAACATGGAACCTGACGTTCGGGGGTGGGGTGGGGTTCTGAAAGCCCATCTTCCTTTTTACAGGGACCCCCAAAAGTCAGGTTGCATGTAAAAAAACGGTGGGAGGGTAGACCCGTAGACCCTGGCCTCAGGTTTTTGTTTCTTTGTAAGATTTGCAGATGGGATGGATGCCCAGTCTGTGGATGGACATCCGCTCCTCGCACCAGCAAAGGAAAACCATGGGAGACTAATCATGTCGGTCAAAACCAGTGGTACCATTTTGGTTGGTAGGTGAATTCACCACCCATTTCAGAACCTATGTTAGTGGTTGGATTGAATCGGATGTTCAGGGGTACGATTTGGAATTTGAGCCATGGCCATGTGGGTTCATATAACCACCATGGCTTTAGGAAACAGAGTCAACCATCCAAGGAACCCTAGGCTCCGCTAAGCTTTTTTTGGGCCACGAGTACTCGAATCAAATTGCGAGCTGGGCCATGGGATTCAGGGCGACTGGTCACTGAGGCGGTTCCCCCGAGTTGCTTTGGTTTTTTTTAAAGCCCGCGCGGCCAGGAAGCGGAGCATGCGAATGGAACTGCGCTGCGAGAGGACCACAGATGCGGCGTGGCGCCGGCCGCTTGAGCTACGAAAAGCCATGGGCTTTAACCTGGACTGCTATTGGGTTGGACTTTAGCTTTTTGGGAAATAAAGGTGTTTTCCACTAAACCCCAAAAAGTTAAACTTTTTGCAGGGGGGTCAACAGCAACCAAGTCTGTGCTCTTTTTCTTAAGGTTATTCTTTCCTGGATGTGTTCAGGTTCCCCTGGATTCGACCCCCTGGTTCTTGTAGAGGGTAAATAGGAAACCCCTCCTTGACCGGCCTTGACCACCAAACCTTCACCAAAGCACCAATCCAAACCACCATTCTTAGGGAAGCTGATGTGCTTTAGTTGAACAGACGCCGTTGCCACTGGGTTTTGTCCCCTTCGCTTTTGGTGCTTGCAGCCCAGGCAGGTCCCCCGCCTAGGCACCCCCCCCCCCCAAGACGTCGACCCTGGTGGGTGGCCGCTCCGGCACTTGGCACTGACGGATGCGTGCGAGGATTCATCATCGTTGCGATTTTGAGGTGATGGACTTTACCAGCGCAGTGGTCGGCGAAGGGAGAATCCCATGGGCGGAACATTCCACAAACATGTCAGACAATGTTGTGCTGTTGTTCAAGGCTTGCTGTAATTCCCCATTGAATGCATTGCCCCAAAGGGCTCTCGCTTTAAACAGGAGCCAAACAAAAGTCCATTTTGTGTGACCCATGGCCGGCAAAGCTTCGCTCCCAACAATCACGAGAGGCTGCCTTACGGGAAATTCAGACTTTTTGGCCTTTTTGCCGATAAAAACTCCCGGGGGCCGATTTGTGGGATGTTTCAGGGGTAGGCCCAACGCCAGAGGAGTCTTGGGCCAATTCCAAAAGCCTGGGGCCGAAGCCGACTTGGCCAACATCCGCGGGCTCACAAAAACACCCCACCTCGAGCCTCGAGCCTCGAGCCTCGAGCCTCGCCGCTCGCGCAGCGCACGCCAGGGTTTCGGAAGTGGGGCTCCGCTTTCCGCCGGGGGTCGTGGCGCAGGAGGCGAGGGCAAGGGCCGGATGTGCACGTGGGGCTGGTGGTTTTCCTTCTGTTTCCCCTTAAAGCCACCCCAAAAAGGGTATGGAAAGAAGACGCACCCAGAAATGATGCGTTTGGGCCTTGGGGTTGACAATTCGATGTTCTGAAGTCATTTCAATCATCGCCAGGTTGCGGGTAAACTGAGGAACCATACATTCAACTTGATGCAACATTATCTCACACAGTGGCTACCACCAAAAAAAGCGCAGGATTATCTGACCACATGCTGATTGACGTGTGCCGGTTGAGAGAGGATCCTTCTTCGGGGCAAGCGCCAGACTGAGATGTTCAAACTGCCTGCTGGTGTTCCCGGAATTTCCCTTGAGACATCACTCAAGCAAAACGGGACCGTAGGCCTGGGCTTCGACTCGATCTGTGATGGCTCATTGTAGCTCATTGTGGGCAGCAAACCGGGAGATTTGCGTAGAAGAGGATGCTTTCGGTGGTTTCCCTCTTCCAAGAATTGGCTCACACACACAAAAGGCCAAGTGGCAAAGAGCGTCCTTTCATCACACCCCATCCGAAAGCGCCAAGCAGCAAAAAGTGTCCTTGTATCCTTTTATCACCCCCTCACACAAAAAGGGACAAGTAGCAAAGAGTGTCCTTTTATCCTGTTCTCACCCACCAAGAAAGGCCAAGTAGCTTATCCTTTTTTCCCTCAGTTATCACTCACCCCCCCCCTTCGGCCCCCTGTTAGCAGACAGCTGCTGGTCCCTTTGAGCAGTTAGTTTGGTTAGACATAGATGTGTTCCGCTGGTTTGGATGGGAAGTTTATGTCGCTGAGTTGCCGAAACCAATCGGTTTTTCCAAAAGGACCCACTGTGGATGGACGAACTCCTGCACCGTTCAGAAACCCAACGGAATGCTTTGATTTCCCCGGAAAAATACCAACCAACTCTGGTTTCAGCCATGGTTTCCTTTCGTGGTGCCAAGGGGATTTCGTCCATCCGATTTCGGTCTGGCTGACTCGTTTGCCTCGATGTCCAGGCCTTGGTTACGGCGGATGCCTTCAACCCCAAAAGGGCCAAGAAGCAAAGATAGCTTTGACTGTCAACTGTTATCTTGGCGGCTCCCAGCCATCCGCTTCCTTAGCCTTGACTTTTTTCGTGTTTAGTGGGTAGTTTCCATTAACCCACTAAAAGTTCGTCACCTTGAGCGGGGGGATCTGAGAACGGGCAGCCCAGTTATCCGTCCCCACTTTCTTTGTCAGTTGGGCGAGGATGGGAGAGCTGCACTGCCCTTCTCAGGCGGATGCCGGGCTACTCAGACTGGTCCAGGGGCCACTGCAGCAGCGTTCTGCAAAGGCGCTCAGCGCGGGAGTTGGGAGGTGGTTTTTAGTTGCCAGACTGAGCATACCTTTTTGATGGTTTGATTTTCGGGGTTATGGAATGTTGTCGGGCAACCAGCAAGCTTCCCCAGAATGAGTTCCTCTTTTTATTGTGTTGCTTTTTTGGGGTTCCCATTGTTTTCCACTAACCAGGCAAACATATATATTTTTTGCTGGGGTCCTAATTCCAGCCAAGCAAGAAGTTCGCTTTTGGCAGGGGGTGTAAGGGGATGTGTTTGTGTCGATTGAAGCAAGCTCACCTGGGGATAGTTTGGACCTAACAAGGTTATGAAGGTCCAAATACTTAGGGATTTCTGAATTCGCTGTATTGTAGTATTCCTCACTTCCTGAGTTCCTTTACTTCAAGCTTTGTGGGTAGACCATTTTAGTGGTAAGCAAAACTCAGGAGAGTGAAATTCAGATTGCGTCTAGAACAAACTTGCCAGTTCGGGAAATGGAAAGCCATCAACTCCGAAAGATTCTGCATTGGGGGTAGGACACACGAATGTCAGAGCAGGTAAGGCGACGCAATCCGGGAGCTCTCGAGTCATGGGAGGAATTGTTTGCTTTCATTTGCTTAAGAGTCTGGTTTAATTCCCCCATCGATTTTAAAAGGAATCTATCGTTCTTGGACATATTGACATCCTACATTTCTTGGCGCCCTTCGGTTGAGGAGTCTGGTCTTCAAGGCTTGAGGTCCAGCCGAACATCAGGGCCTTGTACCTCATGCGATCGGCTGGTTTCCCTGTTGCGGGGACAGCCGATTGTAGCTCCTCCAGGATAGTTTCTGGTCCATTCCAACCTTCCGAGCAGACTTGCACTCCCCAGAAACTGCGATGGAAGCCTCAGTTCTTGCGTGTGTTTGTTTGTCCGCTCGATCGTTTACAACACGCGTGACCTTGCTTCTAGATACGTTCAGCTTGGAAAAGGCTCCTTCAAAGCGTCGATCCATGATCTCCTGCGGTGGGGGGTTGATGATCGTCACCATAAGCAACTTACACAGAACTGTTTAGTCATGCCCCGTCTCATGTTTATTCTGTGGGTACCGTCTTCTTTTTCTTTCTTGTTTGGTTGTAGAGGGGAACCAAAAGACACACCTCCACTTTTGGGGGTCCCCCCCAAAAAAAAAGCCACGCCCATCTACTGTAGCAACATGTTTGGATGCGACGTCTCGGCTTCTCTGGCGCCCATTTCTGTGCGGAGGGCTTTGCAGATCTGATTTCGCACCCCGGGTCCTTGCGGCCACTCAGATTTCTTCCGTTAGTGCACAAAAAACCGAGCAGAGCTCTGAACGCAAGTGCCCCAGGTTCTGAGATGAGCTTTTAGCTGTTGGCGAAGCTTTTCAGGAACCAGGTTGTTTGGGTGTCCGAAATAGGGGGATTTCTTTCGCTTATCTTGAACACGATCCAAGCAGACATCCCCCAAACTTTAAGGCTCTTTTGCCTGGAGACGCTGGTGTTTTGGTGTTCGTGCTTTAGCCCATGGAGAATGGCCACTTATGGAGGCATGAGTCGATATCACGGCGCATCCTGAGAACAACAGGCCAAACGGACAAATATGGTGGCCCCCTCACACAGTACAGGCGTAGAGGTAAATCATTAGTTCAGGGCACGCATCGAAGCCCGGGAAGAAAGTGGCTGTTTGCAGTACTTATCGCCTTTCTACCAACCAGCATTCAGCCAGTTTTCCCAGGCAGAACCACATGGACCATGACAATGAGACCAAGCGTTCACAGGGGACTCCAACTGGTTCACCACCAAGGCAGCCTTCGTGGGTGTGAAAACCCCTCGGCGAGATATGTTCGCGCCAGGTGAAGGCCAGTGTTGAGACGACCCCCTTCACGTGTCCTGGTGTCCGGAGGCTCAGATGGCCTGTCGGCTAGAGAGGGCGTGGGTTTTGACCGGGGATTGGTTTCAGGGCTTTGGCGTGACCGAATCGCCCCTCAGATTGCTTTCCATTCAAGCTGCAAAAGGCCTGGGGACTCTTTGCTCAGAGGCAAGAGCCAGGCCCCAGCCGGTTTTTTTTTCCAGATGCTTTGGGCGGGAAGGAAGAGTGCCTCGTGCACGAGTGGGTACCCCTCCACCTGGTTTAGGTTTAGGTTGCTGCAATGGCCCTGGAGCTCGTCTCAGAATGAACTTGAACCCATCAAGTTTCTGGCTGATCATCTCTTTGCTTTCCGACATGACGGGCCATCAAGTCAGTTCCCAGTGCCCGGAAACTCGGCCAGGGGCCTTTGACTTTGATAAGCCGCAGCTGGCAAGCCATTCGCCCAGCACTGGGCCATGCCACGCTCGCCAAGATAGACGCTGGCAGCCAGCGCCGGGCTTCTCCACGCCACTGTGTGGGTTTGTCGAAGTGTGAGACCCCATGTGGGGTGTCCTTTTTGGTTTGCCGTTAAAAGGCAACCCCAAAAAAGGGGCAGCCTAAAGCACACCCACGCCGGTTTGTGGAAATATCATAGAACATCTGCCTGAAAATCTGGGGCTCCTTTCTAGCAATCCGGGCTCGACTTTCTCACCCCATGAGCGATCCAATTGAACATGCCGCAAGGACCCCCCCCATTTTTGGGGAGTCCTTTTTGGTATCCCCTTTGTCAGGGAAACCAACTAGCAGGGATACAGGGGGAACCAGGGATACGGGAGGATTCCCCCGTTTGATGCACCTGAACTGAGTTTGATATGGGAAATGGCGACAAGGGAATTTATATCCTTATATTTCCGCTCCAACGCATCCCCGCTGGTTCTTTATCCCCTTTGAAAAGGCGGCCCGCGAAACAGGAGAAGTCCGGCACTCTACCACCCGAGAAAGAGAAAGCCGAGAGGTACGTGACGGAGTCACAAACACGGGCCTTTGGCTTGCCATGTGCCCAAAATCTCCGTCGGATCCGCGAGACTTTTCGCGGATGCGTGGTATTCATGGGCCAGTCATTGAAGGAGCGCTGGCCGCTTGCTTGCCGCTTGCTTGCCGCTGCAGGTCTTTGGTCTTCGTTGCGAGCTAGAATACCTGGTCAGCCGCGGCCTTGTCTTTCTGGCCAGGGTAGACTCATCCTGAGGGCTATGTCGGGGGGAACTGCGAGAAAAGCAGGGTTCAGGGAGATAGAGAAGACGAAATACCGAAGGGAGATAGATATCTTAAGTGCTTCAGGAAACGGTGCCCTTAATTGGTGGTTTGGATTTTTGGTTTGGGGATTTGACCCCCCGGTTCTTGTAGAGGGTACATGAAAAGCCCTTCCTTGACCACCAAACTACCGCGCTCCAAGCCACCAATTGGAGGGTAGCTGGCCCCCGCACTGCTTCCGTTCAAGCCGTTTGTTTGTTTCCCCAGGACTTTGAGGCCAAGTTCCAAGCCGAGAGCGCACAAAACTCGAGAGCCAGAAGCAACACTTGAGCGGTTGTCATGACAGTTGATCCCAGTCCTTAGTGGCACCCTTTGCTTCTCTCTTGAACCGCTTCCGGATTTGTTCCTATTACTCCCACTGTGCAAGTCAAGTAAGTTGAACACCTGGTAAAACAAGTGAACAGGTTTTTTTACCAAGTTTACACAAACATATACATGTATACATATTATATATATATATATATATGTACCATACTGTGGATGGACAAAGTGCTGCACCACTTCGAAACAATGGGAAGCCATTGTTTGTTGGTATTTGCAGGGGAATCCTCATTCCTGGGTTTCTGAGGTGGTGCCTAAGAGGATTTCGTCCATCCACAGAATTACTATGACTCGTGATCAAGAACCAGCGCTTGCTTAGGCGAAGGAGAGCAGAGCAGAAAGGAGCTGGTGCCTATAGAGACCGGGGCTCAGCGCTGGATCTGGGTTCGAGCTGAGTTCAAGAAAGCCATCAAACGGATTCTGCGGAATGCGACTTGGCTCGCGTCGTTGTCTCTTGATTGTTTCCCTTTGCGGCCAAGGTCTCTGGTTTTGGAGTTGTGTTTTTCTCCGTTTTTCCAAACAAACACCATATGAGGAACCGCTTGGTTGGTTGGTTAGGTTGGTTCTTTGGGGATTTGAACCCCTGGCTTAGAGGGTGAATGGTTTTTTTCAACCCGGAACACTAAACCACCGATTCGGCTCCAAGCCACCAAGATGGGAGCTCACCATCACAATTTCGAGCGAATTTGGGGCCCGGCTTTCAAGGAAGCCATCCGGGCAAACAAAATCCCCTGCTGAACCATGGAATTGGGCGAGAAAGGTTGGAGGAATGTTGGGGGAGGAATCCACCTTTGGAATTCGATCTCCATTGGTTCCATTTCCCACCCGCTGCCATCCCCCGCCTTTTTCTTTTCGGTGCTGGGCGCAAGCGCGCCATGAGTCGAACCGCTTCGGCTGAGGCTGCAGCTGCCGGCCACGACCTGTGGGGGGACCCATGCTTCGGTTCCTGGCTTCATAAAGGTGATTGAACGGGCCACGCTTTACTTCCATTTGCTGAAATGTTTTTTTTTTTGGTTTTATCACTACTGGACACATATTTTTTTCCAGGGGTCTCAAGCAAATGGAAGTTTATATTGGTAGAACCAGAAGTGGCTGCGGATCAAAACCGTCTTGGGATCCCATTTTGGTTGGTAGGTGAATTCACCGCCCATTCCAGAACCTGTTTTAGTGGTTGGATTGAATCGGATGTTCGCTGGAAATACGTTTTTTGGATTTTGAAAAGCCCATGGCCAAGTCGGCAGGAGTGGGCTTGTGTTTTTGAAAAGCCGCCCTTTTGAAGGCTGGTTGAAAGGGACATCGAAGGACGGTCCGCAGAATTTATAGGTCCAGCTCGACACACAACCATTGTCTGGATGCTTGAAGGGCAAAGAACCCAAAGCCTTGCCATGTTGGAGGAGTAACCAAGCTGTTGGGTGGAAATCATTTTAGCAGCTGTACAGGTCATATTGTTGCAGTAGCCGCAGCTTCGAACGCCGGCCTCACTAGAATCTCGCAATTGTTACTGGGCCATGTTGTTTTTGCCCCCCATGTGGAACCACAAGTGGCTGGACATGACATTTCACCTAAATGGCGGGTCCGCCAAAGCGTCCGGGACGCATTGAACAAATCGCGCCCAACGTTTTGCCTGGCCGCGCAGTTCTGGTGCCGGAGCCAATGTCGGAGGACGGGAAGCCGTCGCAGGGATAAGCCAAAGATCAGGCAGGCCCTTTTTGGGGTGGTATGGAAGACTTGACCCCTGGGGTCTGAGGATAAATGGGAGCCGCAACACTCCAATCCAAACCCATTTTTGAGGGAAAAGGTGAAAACATGGGGAACAGTTGCATTGCCGTTTTCTTCCGTGGGGCAAAGAGAGTTTCAGCTTGACTTGTGAAAAAGGGACTCGCTGAAGTGAAGGTCTCCGGAAGGAGGCGATGCAACACTTTTCGTGGTTGAGCCACGTCCAAAAAACTCTTCTGATTGATAGATGGTTGTCCCTTTCTCGCAGTTGAACTTTATTTTCTTGCTTAAATTGAGGCGTCCCAAACCAATGAAGAGACCTTGCGCCCCAAAAGCGCATTTGCGCGCACAGGCCACTTTGGGGTGTGCAAGAGCTTTTTTAGAGGGAGCGGCAGAACAACTTCCGGTGCATTTTGGCGCAACTTGCCAAGGGAGCCATTAGGGGGGATTGTCAAGTTTAGGGCTTGGTCCAAGCTTGACAGCCCCTCCGTTTTGGAGTGGCCAAGTGGCCAAGGCAGAGGCAACGCATTTAGAGCCACGAGACCGGGAGTTGTCTCGTCACCGCTGGCTCATCTTACTAGCCCGGAGCGGATCAACCCGTGGAGCTTTTGGCTTTTTCCGCTTTTTGGGTCCGTTCTTAGTCAGGGCTCCACCAGGTGAACCTTTTTTGTTTTTGGGTCCTTTGGACAAGTGAGTCATGGTGGCTCTTGTTCACCAAGGCGATCTGCCATCAATTGCGTTTGGCGGGTGGGGGGTTGAATGGTTGGACATGCTTTTCTACCCCATCAGTGGAGGTCATTGCCCCTGTAGGTGAAACATGTACAGGGGAATACTCTGGGTAAGCTTGCTTGCTTGTCAGGGAACTCTGGGAGTGACAGCACCATTCGGACCATAGATCCAAATGTATACACCCAGACTAGCCGGAGGCTTCTGATGGATCCAAGGACTCGCCTGTAGGGTAAGTCGGGAATGGCGGAAAAGCGCGCCGATCTTTCCAAGTTGCTTACTTGGAACATGTGCCGCGGAAAAAGGCACGGGTGGGCTTGGCATGGTTTGGGCACCAGCAGAGCAGGGCGGGGAATGCAGTGGACACAAGGATGCAAGTGCCGAAAGGAGCACTGGCAGTTTGTCACGATACCCATCCCCATCTATTTGTTTCCTCGGAAATGAATCCAAACCTTGTGATGCACATCCCACTCCAAGAAAAACACGGAGTGCAAAAGCAAGCGCGCAAACAGACAAAAGGAACACACACACACACAAACGCGGAGAATGTTGCCCAAGCATAAGTAGCTGCGGATATCCGCCTTCTAAATCCTTTACATATTTCTGGGATTACAACCTTGTTAATACAATGGGTTTTGATTATGACTCCTTTGTTCATGTTGGAAATACCGGGTATTGATTATGACTCCTTTGTTTGGTGCTAAAGGGAAACCGCGGGGAAAATCGAAGCCATTGTCTTGGAAAGGGCAAGGTGACTCTGCAAAGGGCGTTGCCGCCGCATTCAGTTCTCGAGGATCAGCTCTCAGACTACATCTCCGAGCACTCGGCAGATCTGCTCGGCCACCAGACAGCTCAGGCGGGCGCCGCTTGGGACATCTAGAGCCCAAGCTGTTACCAGCAGCGTGCATGCCCACCAACCATGAACCCCCACTAAGAAATCGGGGCTAGCTTTTCTCGAGGATAATACCACTCCTGGGTTTGTTTTAAAGGCGAACCAAAAGGACAACTGCATGTTTTGGGGGTCCCCGGAAAAAATCAAAAAAATAGTCAAAGGGAAACCAGAATTGGGATCTTCACGTCAGGCCGTGAGCTTCGAGCGCGCAGTGGACCTGCCATCCCTGGTGGGCAGGCGGGATGGCGGGATGGCGGGACGCAAGCGGTGGGTTCCGGGTTGCCTCCCCCCCGGTTTTAGTTTTACATCCGATTTTTTAGGTGTTTCATTTGTTTTTATTCATTTTTTAGGCGTTTCATGCATTTGTTCTTTGTTTTATTTCTGGGGTGGCTTTACTGTTGATTTTGTTTGTCATTTTTGGTGGGTGGGAAGGGGGTTTTGATTGACTGCTGATGAAGAAGGGGTGGGGGCCTTTTTGCAGTGGGAAACTACTTGCAATCAAGTGGGTGGCAGACGAAGTGTGGGCAACAAGAAAAGGATCAGTGGGCGTCGACACAAGAAGACGAAACTACGAGTGAAGGATTTGCTTGCTCACTGAAGTGTGAAAGAACGACAGATTGATACTTTGCGGGCAAGTCGCTAGACGGCCGCCTTCCTTTTTTTGAGAGACCCTTAAGCCAGTTGGGCCCTGACTTACATGAAACTGCCTGCTGAATGCGAAACGGATCCATAGCCACAGGGTTCCACGCGAGATGCAGGACTATCATGAGCCAGCCATTGATCAAATAGAGGGTTCTCTTGACAGCCATCTGTTTGAGTGTGGGTCTGACTTCTCTGTCTTTCATGTCACATGGTTGTGTCTACTCGCTTGCTTCTGGTTCTTGGGTTTTATTTGCTGCGCGAAAGCAACAAGGATCTTAGAACCTTCTTAGAAGGGTTCCTAAAATGGTTCTAAAAAGCAGTTCCCAACTCTTTTCCGATTTTTCGGGTGTTTGAAGCACCTGGTTTCGCATGTCACTGGAGGTCTGCGAAGCGCGAGTCAACACGTTGGCTCCGTTTGGTCTTGGGTCTCACGTGTTGGCAGCGTGGGCGGTGTCTGAAATCGTGAACCACCCTTTGGGATGTCTAGGTCCCCCAGTAGTGCCCTTTTGCCAGCTTTTTTTGTTGGGAGGGTTCAGCTACTAAAATAGACGACCGAAAATAAAATGATAAAAACAAATCGGGTACCCTTATTCTAACCTCGGCTATCTGGAGGACCTAGATGTTGTTTACAAACACATGGCAACACAGAAGTAGGTCCTCAAAGGTTGGCTCAGGCCCTCAAGACAGGCACATGTGCAATGGCTCAACACGGGAGGCTTGCAGTAGCGTGTGGTTGATGTTTGGCTCTTTCTCGCTCAAAAAATATGGTTTTACACGATAGATACACGATATCTATCCTAAAGCAAGGTGCACATGTCACATGCTCACACCTCATGTGTTGCGAAGAAAGACACACCTCTTTGTTGTTTGGCTTCGGGAGGCAAGCGGTTCCGGTTGCCACAAGGTAATTGGGCTCATGAGAAGCGATGAGAACGGACACCTCAGAGGAAAAACACCTAGCCTAATACCCGTTTTTGTTATGTGGCTATGAATTTTAATGGGGAGCCCCCTGAAAAGTGAATGGTGGATATAAATCCCCACCGAATTCTGATGTCCACCAAAGGGTCCCTAATTAAAACTCATACCCCTGTAAATGCATATTTTCCTTTACGTTCTACAACTATGCCAAGCCACAGCTAAGGAGTGAAAGGCAGATAGGCCCAGCTAAGCGTTCAGTCAGGGACAAGTTCTCAGCGGAAAAATCAGCACATAGTTACCCAACTGACAGCCATGTGTGGTTTTTAATAAGAACCTTGCCAGTACGACTGGCCTACTGAATGCAAGCAAAGCAGAAACCAGTCTTACTACACGTCAACCCAAAAGCCCATGGGAAGGTGCGAAGACTACTGCAAGACTGTGGGAAGACTATTGTTTACTGGCAGGATTGCTTCTCTGAGGATGGTGAATGAAGCAAACTTGATCGGCTTATAAATATGGTTTGGTCCAACTGAGAAGCCGTGAGGTGAAGCCTCTTTGGACAAACTTGGAGGGTTTGAACTCCAAATCTCTGCTAGGTCACCCAGTAGTGCCGTGTTACCCTTTTTTGGGGGAGGGTTCCCCTACTAAAATAGACTACAGAAAAAAGGGTACTAAATACTGGAGGACCTAGTCTGGCTGATGGATTTGCATTCAATGCTTGTCTCTGTCCGCTCCAGGTGCGCAGGGCTGTGCCACTTCCACGGCATCCAACAGCAAGTCGCCGAGACTCAGGACATCCCCTTTCGTGCGATCATTTCGGGTGTGTGTCTTCTTTGAGGGCGCCTTTTGGGGGTCAATCCAACGGGATCCACGGGAGAAAACACCAGCTTTTCTGGGGTCCCCTGTTTCAAGACACACCCGTTGTGTGGTTGTTGCGGGCCAAGGCCCCGAGGCAGTCACAGGAGCAACCGAAGCGATTTTTATTGGTCCAAACAGTTCAAGTTCGAGGTGCTTGGTTTCAGCTCTCCCGGTCTCGGGGCAAAGTTCTGCCCCAATCCTCCAAAATGGCGACAAGTTGATAGAAAATATCGATCAACGCAAGAGCGCCGCCAGGGTGTTTCTTCCTCACATTAGCTTGCTTGCTTTGTGTGTGTGTGTGCCATGCTGCAAACCGCTCGCGAAACGATTGCAGCTTCCTGCATAGTCAAAACGTATCAGAAAGCAATCTTGACTCAATACACTGATGCCTTTGCGCAAGCGAACTCTTTGCTTGCAGCTACGACTGTCCCAAACCCCGGCAAAAATGAGCATGTCGGACTCAGCGTTCCTAGAAGCCATGCTTGAATATCTTTAACCCGCCCACACCCTCGCAAAAAAAATGCTAACCACCGAACACCAACCATGTAAAGGTAAAATACACTTAAAAGCATGAACAATACTAAACAACGCTTGTTCTTTTCAATCACTCCAAAAGTTGGCTCGTAATTCGTCCCAACAGCGGCTAGTGGTGACAAGAATCCGAATGGGGATGGTGTACACAGAACTCAGGATGAAATTTGGTTTGCTTTGGGGATAGTGTGTTCGCATGGGGCGCACGCCTTCACCTTTGCGCCGATTTGCGAGAGGTTCCTGGCTTATTTGGATGTCACATCTCATCGCTCCCGACTCAAGACCAAAAGGGCTTGTTTGACGCATTTGCCTTTGGCAGCCTTTGGCAGCCTTTGGCAGCTCAGGTTGCATTGACCAACTCGGCTCCCCTTGAGCATGAAATCATTAAAAGCCGCGTTTCACCCAGAGAAAGAAAAAAAGGTGTTGGGGTGGTGACTCACTTAGACACACGATTTCATGTCGTGTGCCAACTGCTTTGATGGGGGATCACAGGTACATGCAAATGTGACCCTTTTGTCGGCACCTGTACCTCCCAACTGGTTTTCCTTGAATACCCGTCAAACGGATTCGCTTGCGCCAAATGGATTCGCCTCTTGAGATCCCCTTGTTACAAGGAAGGCAATCTCCCACCAATACCCAGCGTTTCCCCAATTTCCCGCTTTGAAAGGGATACCACCAGTAAATCGCAACTTTTAGGGTAAATCCAGTGACCCTTGACACCAGATCTGTGGGAAATGTTTGGAGGGTCCACATTCCCCACACGTTTTCCATATGTACATCATTCCCAGAAGTTGCACGGTTGATTCCCCAAGTGCAAGTAGGGAACAAGAAGTCTACTGCCGTAACTCTCCATGGTTCTTTTGGTTTTGTTTGTGTTTGGGGAAGCCCTTTTCACCATGAGTCAGAGTCTCATAGAAACCAAGACAAGTTTTTCTACAGGACATTGGCCAAATACCCACCACCAAAAACAAGGACATCCCCTGTAAATGTAATCGTCAGAGATGAAGACTGGTTGCTGCTCCAGGAGTATATCTTCACTTGGGGTGATCTCATTGCAACTGAGCTTGGCAAACGCAAGGGAGTGTCCCGAGCACTGTGCATTGACTGGGACACGACCCGAGATTCAGTAAAACCTCTGGGCGGATGAAACGAGGTGTTTTCTTTGAGTGTGGACTACCTTTCGGTTTCTTTCAAGACCCACCTGGAAAAAGGGTAGCCTCAAAAACTGGCAGACCCACATGGCCCATATGGCTGTGGCTCAAAATTAAACGATCGGAGGGGCAAACCGCAGGTCTTGGTCCATGTTTCCACTGACCGATCGGGCAACCCATGTTGGAATTCCGGTTTTTTCAGCCACAGCCATATTGGTCGTTGAGTGACTCAGACCACTGGACTTGGCCGGTTTCGAGGACGTGAAGTTCCTGCTGGTGGCGGCGGGCCTGCCACCAGCGCACGCCCTGGAGGCGCGAACCGAAAAAGAGAAACGGGAGACGGGCGGCTCGTCTTTTTTTTTAGGGGTTCCTTGAACTGGGAAATTGGCAATCTCATGGTTGTTGTTGGGAAACGGCTTCTACATTTTGGCTTATCGAGGTTTAGTGGTTGAACATCCTCTAGCTTAACTGTTAAAGTTTAAATTGTTGCTCCCCTTACGTCAACCAAGATCTTATTGGTTTCCCTTTCAATGGTTTCCATTTTCTGAAATGAATATGTTGTTGATTTTCCCTTGTTGGATGTAAAGGGATTGTATCACTACTGGAAAAATGTTCTTTTTTTTTTCCATGGGGCTTAAGCAAATGGAAGAATGTATTTAACTACTTGTACAAACAAAAACATGTCCATGTTGATAAGCCAGGTGAATTTGGCAGGAGGGGGGAAGTGAAGATCGTCGTACAAAGACATTATTGCTGGCTTTTTTGAGGGACCCCCCCCAGAAGAAAAAATGAGACACTGGCTTCCCTTTGATTTTCCTGCAACACACTCAAGAAGGGTACCCTCAAAAGAGAACACCCTCATTATATGTACATACTGCGTGTATATACATATATATATATATATCTACCTATATATGCACATACATATATAGACCGGGATGTTGCCAGCGGTGCGTTTTTCAGTATAAATCTCAGTTTTTCAGGTTTCACAAATGCAACCTCTCTCTTCTGTCTTTTCTTGCAAGAAAAATGGGCTCAAAAACCCAACGCTCACATCATCCCTTTCTGTCTCGTATGTTTTCTACATATATATATATATAGGAGATTCGCCTTTTATTTGGCGACCCCAAGGCCCTATTTGACATTGGCAGAGTCACTTGACTTTGATCAAGCTGGCCCGAGCAAACAGTGGCTGATGGCCCATGGTGCGTTCTGTCGGTCCGCGCGGCACATCATTTCACTTGCATGGCATGCAGCACATGTGCAATTGACACAGCAGATCGCAGCATGCCAGACAATAATTTGTTTCACTTGGATTCGAGTGAGAGTTTAGAAATTGAGCCCGACGCTGCCCAACGCGCATGCCCATATATATATATATATATATGTATATGTATATATATATATATTTATAATGCATACGTACACACATACACAAATACATATGTATATATATATACTTATATATATATATGTGTCTGTGAATGTGTACACATGACAGAAGGCATGGAACCCCCCTCAAACACATGAACAAAATCATCGGTTTCTGAAAAGATGTACTTATCTTTTTTTAAGCGTAATACGGCTTGGTGAGGGCCATTCGTGGCGAATACCACTTGATTTGCAGCATAAATTGCCTTCCTACAGCAGAATATCATTGTTTTGCTTATTTTCGGACATCCTGTGCGTTAGCAAATGCATTCCTTTTCGGGGCCTTTCTTGGGCACCGTTTGACAGCTCACCCGGCTTGCCGTGCATCACTGGGCTCATGCTCGAAAGGATCTTGCTAATTTTCTTCAAGAGCTAGAATAATGTTGGACCTTGTTTTCTGTGCCCCCCCCCTGAACAGTCAAAACAGTCCTGGGGGAAGTGCAAAACTAAACTAAGTAGTTGCAATCCAAAAGGAAGTGCTGGCAATACTAAACCAAGTAGTGGCAATCCAAAAGGAAGTGCTGGCAATACTAAACTAAGTAGTGGCAATACTAAAGCAATACTTAAGTCATCCAAGCTCCTTTTGGATTGCCACAACTTGGATTAGTATTGCCAGCACTTCCTTTTGGATTGCCACTACTTAGTTTAGTATTGCCAGCACTTCCTTTTGGGTTGCCACTAAATTACTTAGGTTCTCAGGGGGGGTAGGTCCTCAGTTATGTGCAAGGCTCAGGCGTCTTGATTTGAGCCCCAGATCCTGCTCCTTGAGCCCCGCTTCTAAGCTGCACTGAGGAAAGGCATGGAAGGCATTGAGGGAATGGACATGTGGATTGAGGCCACCTTCAGCAATCTGAGGCTCTCAGCATGGCTCAGATCAAGCAGCCCAAGCTCATGCTCATTCTGAGCTTCCTGGCTTTGAGTGGCATCTCTTTACAGAGCCACTTTGCAGCAATAGGGGTCGAGGAGTGCTTTGAGCTGTGCTTTGAGGAAGGCCTGAGACTTTTGAGGTATTCAGGTTTCAGAGTATTCTGCAATTTGGAAATCTAATCTGATGGGTTTTGAGACTGAGTTGGTGGGTGCTTTCTGCAGCCATTTGCTCAGACATTTGCTCAGAACCCTTTTTAAGGTTGCTCTACTCAGAAGCCATGTCTCAGTATCCTCCTGTTCCTCCTCAGGACATCTTCCTCAGCACCATTGGGAGGTTTACTGAGGTGCCTTTCAACAGGCATGCTCAGGAGGAGCCTGAGAGTGAGTGCAGGGTGTGTGCTCAGCGCGGGAGATCAGTGACAATCTTGCTGAGCAGGTTGTTCTGGCAAACAAGGTGCAACCAGTGCAGGTCTAATTTCCCTGCTGAGGTGCTGCTCAGGTACCACGGGGGGATTATGCCCTTGGCTGAGATGCTTCCTTGGAGGCAGTACCTGAGGATGGACTTTCAGATCAGGGTGAGGCAGGGGTGGCTGCAGGCTGAGCTGCGATCTGACCTGGAGATTCCTAACCACCCACCCCAAACATGGTACCCAAACAGTGCCCCTTAAGGATGATCTGGGCAGGTCCTGCAACTACGACTGATTTGTTGCTCAGACAAGGCGCCCAAGATGCAGTTCGGGGTGATTGGCAAGGCAGATACTCAGTGCTCACTTTGAGTGGCACCCACAGCATTGCCCAGGAGCATGTGAGGCCACTGAGTTCCAGGCCCAACACCAAACCTTTTGAGTGGCCAACTTTCTGGCATGCTGACTTCCTTACACTGCTGGCCACACCTTCTTCTCAGTGATGATGAGATGTCTGCGCATGAGCTCATTGCTTTCCCTGCTGGCGATGAGCCCCTCCTAGTCAGAAGCCATGAGGGCAGCAGTCAATCACTCAGGTCTTCGTGCCTATTTTTGCATCAGGGCACTGGACTTTGCTTGTTGCTGAGAAAGACAACCCTGACCAAACAGAGGGCTTCACGTAGAGGCTCTACGACAGTCTCAACCATAGATCTGAGATGTCTGCAGCGGAGCAAAAGGCTGGCATTGTTTTAGGATCGAAGTTTGCCAAGAAAAAGGCAGCAATGCGTGTGGCTTCTATGTGCTCAGCTACATGGAATGTGAGCCGAGAACCAGAAGGGGCGAATGGCCCAGGTTCTGGATTCCAGACTTGGCTAAGACATGGAGGTCTAAGCTTCTCAGGCAGTTTCAACATTTGTCCAAGGAGCGGAAAAGCAGAGAGACTGAGCTCAAGCAGCAGAAAAAAGTCATTGAGGCTCAGCTGGAGAAGGCTCAGACAATAAAAGCAGCAGCTGAGAGAAACTTGAAGCAACCACAAACAGGTCCTCAGCAGCAGCTTGGGCTGCTAAGGCTGCGATCAAGAAAAACAGCCTCAGGTTCACTTGGGATGACATCTCAGATGAGGCTGTTAAGAAGATTGTAGCCTTAGAGCGCAGCAGCTGTATCTGCAGCAAATGCAGGTAGGCAGTCAGGTTGCCACTGTGACCCTTGGAAGGCGCTCAGGTACTATGTCAACACTGAGGGAAAGCAAAAGATTCCCTCAGCAGGACTGCGCTCAGCTTGTCTTGCATGTTTACACATTGTGCACTCAGCTTGCAGGACCTGAAGACCTGGCCAAACTTCTGAGCAAGTTTAAGGCCAAAAAGGCTGAGGCCCAGAGCGTCTCAGGTTGAGCAACCAAAGATTTGCAGAGTTTCACTACTGGGACTGAGCCAGGAAGCTGAGAGGAGAAATCAGTTGCCCATATTGCGCATTTTGAGTCATTTTTTTCAACGGGATTTTTTGGGGTTCGAACTTGACATAAATCATGGTACCGAAACAGCGGGGGGGTCGTGTTTAAGCTGGGGAAACTTGACATAAATCAGACTACCGATATTAAACCAGGTGCAACATTGAGCCAAATCCAGCCAGGTTGAGTTAGCGTAACGCAACAGTTCAGAAACTGCGCATTTCAGTACACGTGCAAGAATCAATAAAGCCAAATTAAGGCCAAATTAAGGCCAACTTGAGGCCACATTAAGCCAAATGAAGGCCAGATGGAGGCCAAATTAAGGCCAACAGAGCCCAACATAAGGGCACAATTGACTATTTGCGCAATAATCTTCACGCAAAACATCAGGTTTTGTGGTTCTGGCGGCCTATAGCTGGGTAAACGGTTGCGCTGCACTGGTTTCCAGGTGAGGTGGGTGGGGGAGGGGTACTTACTAAGCGGGGCCAAGCGCCTAAACAAAGCAAGGTGGAGATTCAGTGTCCGAGCTCTGGACATTGAATTCCCCCCTGCCTCTGCAGCTTAAAAACAAGGAAGGGGTAAGTTCAGTGTGAGAAGGGCCATGGAGGGTTTGAAAATACTTCCAAATTAAGCCACACATTTTTTTGGCCGTTGAGCATGGCGCCATGGTTTCTGCTGCAATGTTGCAACCGCCTACCGCCAGGGCCAGCGCGAGCCGCCGGCGAACTCCAAGGTCATTTGCAGATGCGCCGGGCTGATCAGGCCACGTCGAAAGACGCCGCGAGCCGCGGCCTCTTCGTTGTTTACCTGAGTCATCTAGCTGGATGATTGGAAGGGAACCGGACTCGGAGCCCGGGGGTATCCACATTTCTCGTTTAAACAGTGGGGCCAAGGAGCTTCTCATCGGAGTTCTGTGAGGCCATGGCCTCCCTAAAGCGATTTGTCACATTTGGTCAGGGAGAGAGGTTTTGGACGTATGTGGAATATGGAGGTGATATTACCTATATAAGGAGTATATGCTGCCATGCAAGCTTATATTGGTGGTGCATAATCATCCATAGCTCCAAACCCCCATACCTGAACTATTGCTTTTGAAGGTCCCCAGATGTTGGTTAAGGAATGATGTCTTCGCGATGGACATTTCGCACATGGAACATGTATTGATTGCTTGCCTGGCATGGATTGTCGTGCTTGCTGTTTGAGCTTCCCTTGCTTTCAGGCACAGGCTTGTCAAGCATGCGCGCGTAGGATACGTCAATTGTTGCGCTTAGGCTTTCCTTGGTCTTCCTTCCGTTTCGGTTGCTGGGGTCCGACAGGTTTGTGGCATGCAAGATGCCATGTTTCTGGTTCCCGGTAGGGGATTGACAGGGGTGCGGGGAATGAAGCGTTTGGGATTGCCTCAAAGGAAACGGTTCACTTTGGTGTCATGCCCGCATGCCGTGGATTTTCCAACATGACAACTGCCCAACATGACAACTGCCTTTTGGTTTCCACCTGGTCTGAAGACAGGCGCTGACGGACTCAAGCCAATGCAAGTGATTCCACTTGGGGATGTCGGCGCTCGTCGTCAGCATTGAGCCCGGCATGTCTCGCCCCTTGCTATGGGTCGGTTGACCTTGAGCTCCAGAGGTTTGATTTCAACACCCATCTGCAGGAAGATGCCGAGATGCACTGAAACCGGAAACCTTGGGGGTCCGATCCAAAAGGGGCCACTTTGCTTGCCTCTTTGCTCCTTCAGCTGATACACTTTGGCGATTTGGTGTTCCAGTAGAAGTCTTGGCTTTGAAAGAGTGAAGGCAAGGGGCGTGGGTACTGGGCAGCTTGCTGGGGCGAAAGGGACTCGGAATTGACCAACCGCCACATGTGGATTTCATCCATCCGCCCCTTTTTGGGTTTCCACAACTTTCTACTTGACCACCACTGGGTTAGACTTAGGATACATTTTACATTTTACCAGTGACTCAAAGGGAAGAAAACAATAGAATATACATTCTATAACTGGGCCTACTAAGTCTAATCATGACCAGCGTGGACCTCATTGAGACATCCACGGCAGGGGCACAGGCATGGACTTGCGGGTCACCGTGAAGGCTTACGACAAGGCCGGGAGAGCTGACGGCTCGGCCCCAAAGCGGGCTGTAGTCGCACAGGTTTTGGGAGCCTTTCTGACTGCGCCTCAAACGAAGGGATTGCCTTGGAATGTAGCTGAAGGACCACACCCATGGAGATTCTCAGGGACATATCTCATCTGATTTGCCCCAGACAACGCTCATCGAGCAGCTGGGTCACGGATATATTCCCAAGCCGTGACAAAGTACTATCGGGGACATCCAAGGCGGATGCTTGAACGCATTTTCCAGGACTCGTCCTAGCCGTGAACCCATGAACATACATGTCTGAGACACGAACATACTCATGGGAGTAAGGCCTTATTAGGGGCTTAATAAGGGCTTATTTGGGCTCCCCCCCTCCTCTCCCTCCCCCCCAGCCCCCATGAGATACTCTTTACTTGAGTGGCCGGGGGGGTGACATTTCCCAAAGTAGCTTGAAACACGCTGCGCTGTTGGTACTGGTTCTTTTCACCGACCGCTGGTCTGTCAAGCGACCCAGTGCCGGGACAATACTTCTTCTCGAATGCGGCAAGGTTTTTTTTCTTCTTTTTTTCTTCTTCTTTTCTTTTTCCGAAGGCCTTTGCGACATCAGTTGAGGATGCTGACAGCATGGTAGGATTTGATGCCGGAGGGGGGGGGTTCTTGCTGTTTGCAATCAACATACTTGGTGCTCGGTTTCACTCCCGATTCTCACTTCTGCTTTTTTGGGGAGGGCTCCGGAGCCCGAACAAAAATATCAGGCTCAGGGCAGCAGTCAACTCGCACATTGGAGGTAGCCACACCTGTCCGCATGTTAGGAGCCTCCTTTGAGCATGCCACCAAAAAAAGGTGCCAAAACCACCGCCTCCGGCTCCTCTTTGATTTCGCGCGAAGTGACTTCGAAAGGGTTGGGCTTGACCCCGAATTGTTTGGGATGGCTCAAAGTCCTTGTTGGGAAGCAGCAGGGTTTTGCCTCCTCCCTGGACAAAGTTGGGGTCGCGCTTTGTCCTCTTGCATGATTCCAGAAACTGGGTATGTGGCTAGGTGGGTGCTCTGTTGATCTGGAAGATTTGTTGGAGCCTTGGTTTCTCAGACATTCGGAGTGACGGGAATGAATGAGTCGCCCAGGGTGCCCGTAGAGGAAGCCCCGTAGAGGAAGCCCAAGGAGAAACCAGCTGGTCGGAGTCATGGGTCTCTTTTTTGGTTGTTTTGCTCGAAAAAATAGATGGCGATTCCTGGTTGACCTGGTGGTTTTTGCTCATCTACCAGGGGAACCCATCTATTTCCTCAAGGACACCTATGGTTGGAGTAGGTAGAGGCAACTCGCGGAACTGATTCTGCGATCAAGCCAAAACGCTTGCAGGCCATGGGCCTGGCTGGCGAACCAAAGCTGAACTAACAGAGTAAGCCATGCGCCTTCAAGGAAGGCCGCGGCTGATATTAAGCCAGGTCCCCCAGCTAGGTGCCCGACCTCTCACCCCTTTCTTGGTTGGGAGGGGTCCCCACTAAAATAGACGACAGAAAAAAGTGAAGGGTAGCCTTATTCTAACCTCTCCGCTGGAGGACCTAGACAGAGTAGGATATGCGTCTTCAAGTAGGGCCGCGGCAGTGACTCGGGGATGCCGCGAAAAGAACTCACGCGCCTTTGCACGCCCTGTCAAGATGGGTGTTACTGCACCCGAGTTGCCCAGCGGGCCCCCCTTTGCGTGGAGCAGACTTTTTCTTTGCAACAAACAAGGCTTCCTTTCGCTTAAGTTTTTCCGCTGTTGGATTTCCATTAGAATCTATCACTGCTCGACTTTTTGTTACAGAGGACTTCAGCAAATGGAAGAAGGGCCAGGGAAACTTGTGCAAGGCGGTCGATCGATTGATCGAGCCAGGAAATTGCGGAGGAGATTTGCTCCCAGCTGGCCAGGCCCCAAGACTCCAAGGAGACCCTAAGAAAGCCCCCCACCTGAAAACTTTTTGTTCTGTTCATGTTTGGTGCTGCCAGAGACATCGTTTGCGGGGACAAAGCCATATGGCTGTGGGTCAAAACCAATGGGATCCCATTTTGGTCGGTAGGTGAATTCACCACCCATTTTAGAAGGTTGACAGAAGATTAACCCCTTCTTGTTGGGGGTTCGTCCCCCTTCTGGATATTTTCTTAGGCGGAGTTTGGGTTCCATGTGGCTTCGAGAAATCTCGTTCGCAGAGATTCTGCTTGCCCTCACAAGCAGAGAGCCTGTTTGGGCTCACTTTGGCCGTATCTGGGTGCTTTTCAACATCGGCTTCGTCCCTTCATGGAAATCAGCGGCTCTTGATGTGCCCGTCGTTTCTCAGTTTTGGATATCGCTGATATCCCTGAGAACATGCGTGGCGTTTGCGTGTGCCGCATGACATGTCATTGTGCAACAAATTTGTAATGTATTTGACCGACTGCTGGACAGTTGCCTTCAACGTCTATTGCCCGTGCGCGTCTTGTGTTTTATGTCGCCGCGCAGAGTATTTCCATGTGCAAAGACTTGCGTATACGGTGCAAGCACCAGGGTTCCCCATGATGGTACGTTTTTTTGAAGCGCACGGAAAGGAATGTAAACTGTTTGGCTTGCCATGGTTGAAAAGAGGTTCCAGAGAGGTGGTCATCTGCCTCTCGGGTTTTGAACCACGACTCTCGTATTGGTTCCCATGGAAGCCCATGGGATTATATGTGAGTTGTGAAGTTGGGCTAAGCTTCACGCATACCACAGGCATAGCTGAGGTGTGCACGATGTGGGGCTATGTTATGCAATGAACCAATGTTGCGATGAACCAATGTTGACTCAGAGCGGGCGATTTTGGGGTAACGTTGACCCCACATGAATCAACCCAGTTTATTAGATGGGGGGTGTTCATTTCAGGTTCGGTGGTGAATCGCCACTTTTGGAGGGGCCCTCACCCTCCGGATTTAATAAACTGGGGTTGAAGAATTATGGGGATTCCCCCTCTGCCATTGGGTTGAATCTTTAGACTAACTTTTGGGGAAATCAAGTTGGGTTTTCCATTGCAGTAGCCAAGCCCCCCAAGTCCTCGAGTCAGTGGCGCTCAGGTGAGCACCTTCCGAGAGCTCATGGAGGGCAGACTGCAGCCGTGGGCTCAGAGGCAAAGCTAAGTTGGCTGCGTTTCATCTTTGGCTGGTTGGCCGGTAAGTCCGGTTGGCACGGAATGCAAATCAGGCCTCCCTGAAAATGCGCAGGGGCAAACTTGGGGCAAGTGAAAAGGAGGCCGGAATGGGTTGTTGGTTGGCTTTTCATTTTTTGGCTGGTAAGTGGGCTGGTTGGCTTCCCATCCAACTCGGGCATGAGGTAGCCCAG